TTCCCTCCGCCTTGTGGATTGCCCAGGTGGAACACAGACCCCAGCTGCACAGCCCTGGGTTAAACAAAAGAATTCTTAAATCACGTGATTAGGCACTTCTAGGTTTCAGTCACAGGTTACTCCTGGATATATCCATAACTAAGGATTTTACTGAACCTATAGATAAGGACTACTTATATAATGGTTTCAGCCTGCCCTGTATTTGTGGATCTCCTGAGGGCTCATTTTTCAGCTCTATTTTTCTATGATTTTACATTGTAAGCCACTCCCCTCACTCATCATTGTGAGGTGAGTGATATAAAATCACCTTAAACACTGTGGCTGTGTGAAGCTCCGGGTGCTAATTCGATTTGGAGGAGATTTGGCCTGATTCAGTGGCCGAATCTCCAGACCCCAATCGAATCAGGGGATCAATTAAAAGGTCCAAATCAATTAGAAGCTCTCTGAATCAATTTGGAAAAGATTAAAAAAGCTTTGGTGATTCGGGCAGTCCCTGCATGCTGCCACAGGGAGCTGCACCCGGACTCCAAGCTGGTAAGTAGGGGGTGGGAGGTTGGAGGAACCCGGAAGGGGGACCATGGGGGGACCCCTGGCAGGCCCCATCCCCTGCCTGCTTCCCCAATCCCCGCGAGCACCCCCCAATCCCCGCCTGCTCTCCCAGCCCCACCCCATGGCTTCCTTGCCCCAGCTTCTAGCCCTTTAAAATAAAGCCCCCACTCACTGGCTGCTGTTAGGTGGGGGGGGGTGATCCCCGCTGACCCCCCCTGCCCCATGCTGCATGGGGGGCTCTGCCATGAGACCCCCACTTGCTCCCCCAGTCTTTCCCCCTGCCATGGCTGCCCCATGCACCCCAGCTCCTGGCCCTTTAAGGAAAAAAATCTGGACTTGTGTGCTGCTGCAGTGGCCATTGGGGTTTTTGGGGGCTTGTGCAGAGCCCCCCACACCACACAGGGCAGCAGGCTGGATCATACCCCTGCTGGGCAGGAGCCAATGAGTCAGGGCTTGGTTGTTGGGGTTTTTTTTGTTTTTTTTTAAACAGCCGGAGCTGGGGCAGCCATGGCAGGGCCGGGGGGGGGGGGCGGGGG